TCTGTGGTTTGGTTTGGGCATGCCTGGCTGTCAAATGATATGCCACCTTGCTTAATAATCAACATACAACTACAGTTGTCTGAACAAGACCTTCAAGGCAGTCTTCCTAAGATTCTGAAACAATCCAAACAAGATCAAGAATTTGTTCTCACTGAGACTTCCAGAAAAGTTCCACTGGATTCTTTTAACTAAACCAAACTGCTGTTTTCCCATGGTAAGCCCTGTAAGCATTGCTAAAGCTGGGGTCATATGTTTTCAGCAGTCTTTACCATGGTCTTGGAATGCTTTGCCATGGCAACACTCACCTCTTCCACACCGGATCTTCAGTAACCAAGTAGCTCAAGCCAGTCTCCTATCATCCCCCAATTCTTGCCCAGTGAGGGAAGTACATGGGTTCAGGACACTGAGAGAGGCTTAAGAGGCATTGAGAAAGACATAAGAAGGGAGTAGATAGTCATCAGGCTGGAGACTATAGTATGAAGTTCACTGCAGGCCTGAACCAACAGATTGTGGATCCTAGCCACGTATTACCCAGTGACAGCCAGTGTGGTGTAGTGGCTCAGGTGTTGGACTAGGATCTAGGACACCCAGGTTCAAATCTCCACTGCCATGAAACTTACTGGTCAACACTAGGCCAGTCACACACTTACTCCACCTAATGCACCTCACAGGGCTGTTCCAAGATAAAATAGAGGCCAGAATGATGCATATTGCACTGAGGTCTTTGAAGAAGACCAGGACAAAATGTACCAAGTAAATGGTGAATGGTTGTGGCTCGATGGATGAGCCTCTGCTTTGCATGCAGAATGTCCCAGGTTCAATCCTCGGCATCTCCGGTTATAGGTTCAGGCAGGAGGTGATGTGAAAGACCTCGGCCTGAGATCCTGGAGAGCTGCTGTCAGTCTGAGTAGACAATACTGCCTTTGATGGATCAATGGTCTGATTCAGTATAAGGCAGCTTCATGCATAATAAAAAAAGTGCACAGTTCAGGGCTCAGACTGAGAAACCCCCACGCTATAGCATATAATCATTAATCATATTTGCAGCAGCATAAAATTCAGGACTGAAGCTGTTTTAGTAATGCTTAGAATGAGCATAAAACAGAAGCATTCACTTGTCACCCTCCCACCAACCATGGGAAAATGCTTACTAGACTGCAGGTCAAAAAACGTTTAGCATAGATCAACATACAAGCAAGCCAAGTTCCATACTCTTAACCAGGAGCACACGATTTAACACCTAAATGCCCTGCTAACACAGGGAACCACGGCAGTAAGCCATGCAAGTGCTTTTGTGATCTGCGAACAGCAAACTGAATTCAGTCTCCAAAGAGCAGTCTAAGTAGACTGAACGAATGTGGGGACAGAAACAGCAGTGAGACTAGCAGAGCCAAAAGCCAGTGATCAGAATACAAACTACAAATAGGGAAGTTGAAAATAATTTTTGAATTTTGAGCTGAATGTAGTAGGTGCTTTATTATACTAAATCAAAAGGCAAAGAAAATGCAGAGAGAGACAAAAAGAGTTGTGACCAATCACAGTGAGAAAGGGTGGAGCCGAGCAAAGAGCCATAAACTGCCTATACCAAATAAATCCTCTGCCCCCTCCCCAATAGAGATGTCGCATCCAAGGATTCTATCCCAGCTGTAGAAAGAACAAATAGTTCATATCCGCTCATGGCTGTTATCATTCTGGCAACAACTCTAGGGAGCACAGCTGGGCTCGATGCATAAGCACCTACTGAGGCAGACAAACCAGGTTGTCCTCCTGGCCTAAAACATGAAGCTCAGCTGCTGACAATGCTGTGAAAAGCAAGGTGGTCTGAGGCTTGGATGGCCACCACTACTGATGTGGCATTTTAACAAGCATCTTGGATAAACCTACTGAGTTGTTTTAGGTACACTACAGTCAAATACAGTCCTCTGTTGGTGCTGTCAAGAAAACACGATCAACAGCCAGAGAGTTCTGGGATTAAAAATGAGTCTGACAGCCATAACAACTGCTTGTGTTTGGTCTCCACTCTATTGGGGGAAAGCAATACAGATGTGTCCAGGAGCTCAGGACTGATTTCCACTATCTCCCAACACTGCACGCCATCAAACTGGGAAGTGCAGTCAACAGCCAACAGGCATAATCAAATGACAGCAATAATGATGCCAGCCCTCACTTCATGTACAGATTATTCTTGTGGGTGGGGCAGGGCAATAGCTAGTAATGGTTAGAGAATTAAAGTAGGATCTGGAAGGCCCAGGTTCAAATCTCCCCCTCCTTGGAAACTTGCATGGTGACACTGGGGCAGGCACCCTACATCACAGGCTGCTGTTGTGAAGATAAAGTGGAAGAGAGGAGAAGAATGCTGTATGCCCTTTTAGGAAAGTGAACTACAGATATTTAAGTAAATACAATGGAATGCACAAGAACAACTTTATGCTCTTTCATGTAGTCCAAGAAGTCCAAAAATAATCACTTTAGGGACTCCAAATGAGCACTCCTGTGACAATCCAGGGAAACTGTGGCTGAGAAGAGCGATTCAGATCCTTAACAAAAAAAACCCTACACATATTTGAAATTAGATACAGGCAGGGGGTAAAAAAGTACCTGGTGCCTTATTGAGTAATGAAGTTTCTGAACTGCCACAAGAGGGGAAGAACAATGCACAACTATCCAAATAATGTCATAGTCTGACCATTGGCAAAGGGGTTCTGCAGTACAATATGTTGCTACTTATTTCATTTTCCCTTGGGCTGCTTTCCACTCACTGAGAAGTGACTTGCACTTGAGTGCACCATGCTAGCTGTCCCACTTAGAGCTTCTCATATCTCCGAGTCTTCAAATAGGAATATTTCATGGAAATGTCTGATCTGTTGGTACTGCTTCCCAACCTTAACCCACAATGGGCAGGAACTGCACTCCAAAGGTTAACTTGCTGCAGTATCTTTATAAGTATTCTCACCATGATTTTCTCTCCATGCCCATTAGAAGATTCAAAACATTTTAAATTACTTTCATGCAGAGAGGATAAAATCAGGGTTCCATGATGTCCTCTTGCATTAAGCATCCAAATGAAACTGTTCCAAGAAGTCATCTAGAGATTTGAACTGAGCTGTCATCAATAGGCTGGTAATACCAGACTCCACTTCTGTTTTGTGTCATGTGAGACAGTGGATGTTCTGAATAGGAGTCAAGATGGTAATGGACTAGATGAGGACATTGTGTAGAGCCAGTGTGCTGTAGTGGTCAGACTAGCAGGGGTGTCAAACATACAGGCTGGAACTGGCCCGTCCAGGGCTCTTATCCAGCCCGTAAGGAACAGGTCATTACCTTTACTGCCAGATGACAGAGGCTCTGCATTATGTTCCTGTATACTGTGCCAGTGCTAACAAGGAATGGACGGTGGAAGTGGGAGGGTGGGCATCAGGGAGGTACATTAAGGAAATAGTGTAAAAGTGTTAATGTTTTAAGCATGTTTGTATTTTGAGTTTAAAAAATCACATCATTAATTGGGTTTCCCTGTGTCCTTTATAAAGTTTATATCTCTATTATCTATTACATTTTATGGCACATACAGTCTGACAGTGACATATTTGCCAGATCCGGCCCTCATAACAAATGAACCTCTGGGTTAGAGCGTCAGACTAAGATCTAGAAGATCCTGGTTCAAATTCCACTCCGCCATGAAAGCTTGTCTCACAGGGCTGTTGTGGGAATAAAACATAGGCAAGGAAAATGATGTAAGTAGCCCAGGTCCTCATTGGGGAGAAAAGCAGGGTATAAATGAAGTAAAAAATTTTAAAAATGAAAACTGAAGCTTGGGGACACTTTTATACCCGAGCATACAGAGAGAGGCTTGGATTGCCGTGCTCTAATACTGGCAGTGTGCCTGTTGCAGCTTCTCCTGGGTACGATCTGTCTACAGTTATCCATGGTCTTGCCACATCCAAAACAAACAAACTACTGTAACATGATCTACTTGGGGTTGACTTTGAAGCTGTTCACAAGTTTCAATTAACAATTCAATTACCATTTTCTGCTTGGCATAGGGAGCACATCACCCTAGTCTCCAACGAATGCCATTAGCTGCTTATACACATCCTGCCACAGTACAGGTTGTCCTGTTTAGAAGTCTCCACGTTCTAGGTAAAGGATCACTACCTTCTATACAAATCTACACAGGGACTTCAATCTTGTCTCAAGTCAGGAGGCTGGGTGCTACAGACAGAACCTCCTCTATAATGGCATCACAAATGCCCACAACTATCCACCAGGTACCTAGCCTGCAGAACTTCAAGTGCCTGGTTAAAATTTCTGTTTACTCAGGCATTCGTTTTGATGTTGCGCCCTTCCCCTTCCCTCTGTATATGTTTACTCTTACTAATTGGATGCTGGGCTATATATGTTGCAACTTTGAATGAGATGCTATAATTCAAGATCATTATTATTATTAACTATCTAAAACATTTTAAGTTGAGAGGTAAGATACAAAAAATGTAAACAAACTGCATTTGTAGCTATAAAACGCACAAAGCCACAATCTTCACAGAAAATTAGGACTCCCAAAAAATACCCATAGACTTCTCAAATTATCTTTATTAAATGTTCTTAACTATTTAGGCTTCTAATGGGCAGGGAAATAAGAGCAAGCAGTGCAACGCTACTCAGCCCAATGTACTGATTTTATTACATTGATATACAGCTTTTCTTTCACCATGGCATTCAAAGATGTTTGGGGGGGAGGGGGTCCGTCATTCAGAGTCAGACCTGATGAGTTTCAGCAAGGCTGCAGAATTATGTGACTTCCAATCAAGCCCTAGGAGTAATCTGCGGACAAGCCAGTGATGATCTAGAAGTCCACAAGGCTGAATTCTTTAATACATACATCAGGAAAGGCAACTAAACAAAGTTGTCACTCTAGAGACCAAGCTAAGCAAGTAGGAGACAAGAATACAAATGATATAAAATGAGCTGGAGATACCCCTTCCACTTTTGCATTCCCTACTTACATGTTGTATTTCTTGCTGGCTGGCTCGGTAGTTTTTCTTGGTTAAATTGTCCACCAGGTAGCTGATTTGAGACAAGGCCAGCGAGAGCGAGTCAAGATTCATTGCTGGTTGGGGCGGAAGCAGGCGGCCGAGCCCGGCGCAAAATCACCATTATTCCCCTTTAGTCACCTCAGAGACAGGTTAATTTTTTCCAGTTAGCGTATGTCTCAATTTTTGCTATGTCTTCAGCTGTTTTTTCCCAGTGTTCTCACTCCGTTCTGAAACATGGCACCTGCAAAGTAACACAGCACAGTTCTACATTACATTTTTGTGAAACCATTTACAAGAAAGATTGTACCACGCAGGCAACTGACATTCTGAGCCACACACTTTGCTCCTTCTTGTTCTGGCGAGTCCCTTTCAAGACATACTACTCAGATTTGGAGTAAATTTTTACAGCTCAGGGCTGCCTTTCTAATTGGTTAAAAAATGGCGGAGAAGCAATAAAGAAGCAGGTTGGTTTGAATTTTTTTGGGGGGGGGTGGCAGTGGTATGACAAAGGACAACTGGAAAAGTAAAGCAAAAAGGAAGACTTGAAAGCAGCAGCATCTTCTAGTACTGATTCTGACTAGGAAATACCTGCAAAAGTCTACTACAGCTGCACACTACAAGACAGACCTTAGCTATATAAAATAAGCAATGTTTTATATAAGAATATCAAAGCAACTTAGCGTGCACCTCCTACGTGCATTATCTACTCTATTCAGTTTTTAAACTTAATTTTAAAAGATTAAAAAGAGGTTTTGTATTTTCATGGCCGTATTTTATAACCACCACTACTACAAAACCTGGCCTAAATTCTTCCAATTCTTGCAATCTCATGAAAGCTATGACAAAAGGTTGTAGAATATAAATAAATACAGGGATAACCATAGTTGTCATCACCATAACAAAAAAGCTAACCTCCAACCCTAACCTAATTTCTCCCCAATTTCTTATAATTTCATTATTTCTTTCAAAAGCTCCATTAAAGTCAACATTGAAGGCAATAAAGAAAGCAACTGGCTAAAAATGAATTAATCCATGGTAGTTAACATATAAACAAGCAATGACAAGAACTTCATGAACACACTCCAATGTGAAATGCTAAATAAATTTTGTACATCTGAGGATCCCCAAGAGATGCTACAATAAAATAATTCCTGAAAATATTAGGTACCAGAATGAAATATCTAGGTACCATGGATTTGTCAAGCTCTGGGGAAGACGATACTGAACTTGACACACCAATGGTCTAACTCATAAGCCTGCTTATGGTAGGTTTAAGAAATCACCACAGAAGTTTAAAAGATTGTCAGTACTTCTGTTTGGCCTACCCAATTTGCTTTGGCATTCCAGTTAACACATTTGTAGACCAGCTGTCCACTATCAACTTCCTCCTCTGTGTCAAAATTATTTAACATAGTTCTACATTCACTGCTAAAAGCTATGGTTAAAGGTAAAGGTTCCCTTGCTCGAAAGCCAGTCGAATCCAACTCTAGGGTTGCGGTGCTCATCTCCGTTTCAAAGCCGAAGAGCCAGCGCTGTCCCAAGACGTTTCCGTGGTCATGTGGCCGGCATGACTAAACACCAAGGCGCACAGAACGCTGTTACCTTCCCACTGAAGTGGTACCTATTTATCTACAACAATTTCTTGCTTTCGAACTGCTAGGTTGGCAGGAGCTGGAACTAGAGACAGGAGCTCACCCTGTCTTGCGGCACCCGGGTCTTGAACCGCTGAACTACTGACCTTCCACAGCCTGCAGTTCAGCGTCTTAACCACTTGAGCCATAGCATTAACACATGCAGCAAATTCCTATGTAAACACCAGGTGGCTTAAGAATATGTAAACCAGTGTCACAGCAGTGATAAAGCCACATGCATGTATTTACCAGCAGCATGTAAATGATAACAAGCAAGCATGAACAAGCAGCATCCGATCCCTCTGGGACTTGCCACCATATTATGTCCAAAGAACACAAAGCAAGCCACAAGCAATGGACAATAATATAATCAGCATGCTTCCTGTATGATCCTACTAATCAACTAGCTGTGAAAGAAACAATTAACAACTTGAACTTGAAGTTTGTTAGAAAAACATGATGTGCAGCTACATCTGTAACACTAGAACAAGTTGAAGTTGTGACTTCCTTCAGCTACTGGCAGCTATATGAAAGTGCAAAGACTTTAGGTTATCCACGGTCAGCAACACATTTATATTAAGAATGAAAATAGGATGACTTTAACGGTACGGCAGGCATGGAGATCGGTATGTGCCTGTTCACCTATGGAAATAACAAGAGTTCACTGCTTTTTCATGCTCACACTGGTCACAGGGGCTTGCGCAGCAGCAGGTATTCTGCTGCACAACTCAACAAAAATGTGCTCCTGCACACTACAGTGATCACAGCAGCCTGTATTCTGGCAGCAACATAGCATAAATAACTGGACTACTCAAAGCAAAGCTATATTTGCCACAGCTACACCTCGGCCACCAATATAGTATATACATGGTATGAAACCAATGTAAGCTTTATACACTAAGATATCCTAAAATACATCAGGGCTAATCTCAGAGCATTGCAAAAGCTGCTTCCTACACACACTACATTCAAACTCAAACTTAAACAAAACAGTGTGCTCTCTCCAACACAAGCAAGGTGTATGACACAGCTTGCAAATCAATTTACACTATATTGCATTTGAACAAGAGATGATTCAGAACTAGCTTGTCCCATGTTGTGAAGAGAAGCCGCTAATTACATCTTGTTAAATGCTCAGAAAACAAGCATTAAAATACTACTACCAAGAAAAACCAGCCAACATGACATACTGGAGGATTACAGCAAATATGTTTAGCACTATCTAACCTGAGCAAAAGGTAGCTTTAATCAATATATACAATTATGGATTGTCTGTAGGTGACTGAGCATAGTCTTTTAATTACACTCTCAGCAGCAGAAACACATTTAGAATATTACACAACAAATCACACATGGTATGCTAAACTACTCTACAATTAAAGGTAACTTCAGGGCCAGTTAACATTAGGGTTAGGGATTTTGCTAACAGGAGGTAGCCAAGTATCTAGATCCTAAGTTGGTGCAAGAATTTAAGGCAAACTGCTTCCTGTTTACAAAGCAGATCAGTGCTCATTTCACCCTGAGCTCTTACAATCCAAGTTTACTCATCAGCCTGTAATTACAAACTAGAACAGCATCTTCCAAGGTATTTTTCTGTAAATTGATAAGGACTAGGGTTGAATTGCGAAGGACTTGCAAGTACCTTTTAAACACCTGATCTCCAGCTGATTATCTCTACACGCACCTGTGGTGTTGTGAGATCAAACTGATTTGCTGCAGACACTAAATATCCATACTTTGAAGTCACGGCTGTTATTTACTAGACAGCGTTTCTTTATAAACCGCTTTTAACATTTCTGGGAAAACATGGTAATGAATTTACAGAAGTAAAATGTCCCATTCCATACAACCAAGCTAACTTATGTGATCAGGATAAGGCCATGCATGAGTAAGTGGAATAGTGGGGCACAGAGCCACCTTCCCCATTGAGATCCTTTGACCACCTTCCCCATTAACAAACTGGTTACTCCATTACACATTTTCTTTTTTTAAGCATGCACATACTGTTATAAAAAAGTTCACACTGTAGCAATGCTCACAACTGCAACATGGCTACCCATCTTGAACTAACTGCAAGTCTATGCAAACTTTACCACATACTGCTTTAAGTACTTAAAACATTTCTTCTGCCCCAGTCACACGGCAACGGGAGAGGCACGGATGGAGGGCGGATTATCCGGGCGCAATCACACCCCAACATCTGGGAAGTGGAAGGAACCCATTGCTTACCGGCGACAATGCACGTTAAAAAAACTAGTACCTCCAAGGTACTAGTAAACGTTTGCCATGGGCTGCCTCTAGACGCCCGTGGTGTGATCGTGCCGGCGTGTGGCATTCCCCTCCGGTCCCTCATTTACCCGCCGGCGTCGAGGGAAGGACTCGTGGTGTGCCGCTGGCGCGTCTGATCACGTAATCGCAGATCAAACTGTGCCGGGGCAATTAGCCACGCCCCCCCCCCCCCGCGATATCCGGCCCTTCAACACTTTTCTGCAGTAATAGCACACCAAAGAATTCACTGCTGGTGAACAAAGATGTCATTTATGTACCTGTTTTTTGTTGTTATATATACATATGTATCTTGTACATATAAATCCATGCCTTATGAACAAGGATTTCCAATATGGCAGTCAACAGTAGAGAAATGGAATATGGAAGTCAAAGTCTACCCATATTAGCAATGCTAATGGGACATGCAATAAAGCATTAATCTACAATGTCATTGATTACAGTAACTTCCTGCACCCTTGTATTAGCCATTTAACATGGGCCAGTCAATTGAATGTTAGGTCTATAACTCTAGCCACTTTGAGACACATGGGGAATGTGGTCACTGCAAAGTTCTTCTTTATTTATCTTCAAGATGGCGCTTTAGTCGTTTATATAGGATTTTAGATTTTCTCACTTCAAAGAACATGCTTCTATAAGGTACAACTCAGGGAACTTACAACAATACACATGAAAAGCAATCTAAAACAGGCAATTTCCAAGAAGTGTCAGGTGACAGAAATAAGGAGTAAAGAGTCTCTCAAGTGCACTGCTAGGCACTGGTTTGCTTTGAATGGACACACAAGCAAAAAACAAGTCAGCAGTGACTCACGAAAGCTCATACCCTGCCACAAATTTTGTTTGTGGACTCTTGCTCTTTTCTAAAGCAACAAACAAGGTGAGGGCAGCAGTACGAAACTGGTAGAAAACCTCATCTACCACATGCTCCCCCTCTGCAGTATGTAAACAGTATCAAACCTAACAGTGAAGGTTGGTACCTGCCTACAATCACACAAATGAAATCACAACTGTGACTGACATTAACCTATTTTAGACAGATATGGGAGATTTTGAACCACCCTGAAAAACTAAGATAGGTCAATGACAGCAAAGCTAAAACATTAATATAGCTCTGTAATCTACCTCCATACCAAAGAATTAGAAAGCAACATTTTTAGGAGCCCATGGAAACTTAGGAGATGAGACCTCTAAGCCTAAAATCCACCATAAACAAAATTCTAGAAGGCAGGGTTTAAAACTAGAATTGTTCAATGTGTAGAACAACCCTGCTGAGGAAGAAACTGCATACCTTTGTTAAATTATTCAATGCATCCAACAGGTACATATAAGCGATCAAGAGGACAGCAGACTTGGATTTTCAGAAACCTTTTGGCAAAGTTGCTCACCACAGAACACTTAGCAGATGTGATCAGATGGCATGCCTTTTCATGACCCAATAAAGAGTTAAGTTGCAGGGACTAAGAATGAGTTTTCACAAGAGGCGAGCAAGCAAGTAGTTGGCTACTCCTAAAGATAAAAGACTGGAAAAGATGCTATTTGTTTATAGACTAGAAGCCAAGATAATAACATTTTCAGAAGACACCAAATTATTTGTAATGTTCTAATCACAACCCAACTAAAGAATTCCAGATAGCTTCTCTAAACTGGATAAATGAGCAACAATAAACTGGCAGAGGAGATTCAATGTAAGTAAAAAGTGGTTGTCACCAAGGGAAAATATCCTAACTTCACACATAAGTCGACAAAGTCCAAACTGAAGGACTATAATGTAGTTTGCTGTGGCACTGAAAGAATGTTGTTCCTTGTAAATAATCGTTAAGGGACTAAAAATCTAACAGCATAATATGAGAATGGCTATAAGAATCTACTTTCAAAACGCTGTCCATCCTATCTCCAAAACCAGAAGTACCAGAAAGTTTCTAAAATTATGAATACTGTAGCAGTGAAATAGTAAAAAGCCCAGTGGCATCTTTAAGACTAACAAACTTGTAGCATAAGCTTTCGAGAAACACAATAAAGTTTGTTAGTCTTACAGGCACTACTGGACTTTTTACTATTTTGCAGCAACAGACTAACACGGCTAACTCCTCTGGATCTGTAGCAGTGAAGTGAGGTTTAAATATTAACACATACAGACTGGATATTAAAAGTAAAGAATCACATGTTGCTTAAGACCATCTAGTGGGGTCTGAATGAAAGACTTCCTGATTTACAGTCCTGTGTTCAGCACAGCAAACTTCAAAATTCTAGAAGGCAAAAAATCTCAGAAATTATCCCCTACATAGCTGATTGGCTTGAGTCACTCTTCATGAAACATTCAACTGAATTCCAGAGTCCATTCCCACAAGGTGTGGCAACAGTCAGGCCACTAGGGCCAAGCGGTTTGGAAAAGGGCTAACCAAGTTAAGCAGATCAAGGTGGGCCGCGTTAGCCCTGGGAAATAAAAGGAAGTTACTTTCTCAAAGGCACTCTTTCTCCCGTTCCTGTGAGCTTCCTTAGGAGCGTCTGGCCAATTGTACGAACAACTCTTTGGTCCGATTCGGGCCATTTCTGTACCCCAACTAGTAGCGGAAACCGGAAGGCAAAAGTGTCACTCCCGAACCTGAAAGTAAGACCTAGTGTGTAGAAAAGAGAGACACTGACAAGACCCGTTTCTGAGTGCGAGAAAACACTCATCGGTATAAGAAGCGTGTTCTAGCCATCCGCAAGCCCAGGTCCCCACAATGAATAAACAAAAACCTCGTTTCAAAAGATAGACACACACAGCTGCCGGCACTAGAGACGACCGAAAAGAGAAAACCAAAGAACGAAAACACATATCGAAGTCATACTTCTCCGCAAATACACGCTAAAGATTCTCAACGACCTGGGCGGGAGTGGGGGGAATTTGCAGCCTCAGAAGCGGGCCTTCCTTGCAACGGGCGAAAGCGTTGCCCGGCCTGCACCGCGCTAGCTCTAGGAACTCACGCGGCTGGACTGGTTGGTCGGGGCGGTCCGCGGAAACCCCCTCATAGGCCACGGTCACCCCGCCCGCCACCAGCGAATGGATAGACGGAGGGGCTGACTGATGGACCAAACCCGGCTGCGCTTGAGCGGGTGAAGGAAAGCCGCCGCGACCAACACGTGCTCGGGGAGGAACCCCCACACCCAAAACTCTCTGGCCTCCTCCTGAACACAGTGGGGAAACAAGCGCCAGAAAGAAGGAAGACGGGAAACCCGCGGCCACCGCCGCCCAGTCTCGCGCGCCAGCCGGCCCAGAGCTAAGCCGCCAGCCTCCATCCCTCCTCACCTCGGGCGGGCCAGGGGGCTGGGGGTGGGGGTCTCGAGGCCGAACCGAGCGCCTTCCGGTGCCTCTCGCGCTTCTCTAGTTACCTCCTTGGCTCGTTCCAAAACAAAATGGCGGCTGGGGTCGCGCGCTCACGTCGCGGCCTTTCTCTTCCCGTCTACCCCCGCGGCGCACGCATAGCGAGAGGGGGCGGAGTCTTCTGGCTGGGCCGGCCACTCGGGGTCCCACCTACGCGGAGGAAAAAAACTAACCAATCAGAACCCGGCCCAGGCTCGCGCTCGAACCCACTTCCTTCTTCAGTTGTGCCCCGCCCCTTTCCTCGCGCCAGCTTGGCTGCTTTTGCGCCTGCGTTCGCGGGGGCTGATTTACCCAATCCGTTGCTTGATGGCGGGGCGGGGCGGGAACCGATGGGGAATGTCCTTTCGGAGTTGCTGAGGTATTGGCCGACCGTGATTGGTTAATGGCGTGCACTATCTCTCGCTCTCTTTCACTCTCGCTCTGGGTTGCTAGCCCGCCCCCAGTTTCGGCCAATTAGAGTGCCCCAGCTCCCGAAACGGGCGTGTCAACTGGCACCAATGATAGCACTGCGCGGTTGCAGTTGTCTAATGTCTTGCTGTAAGAGTCACGCCTGGCCGTGCCTGTTTGGGTTATTACCATGATAGGGTCCGAGGAGGGGGAGGAGGAAGATTCAGGTGGGTTCCGGTTTTGGTCTGAGGCGGCAGAACAAAGTTTGAGTCCAGGGGCATCTTTAAGACCAACAAAGTTTTATTCAAAGTATAAGCTTCCGTGTGCACACACGCTTCTTCAGATACAAAGATGCCATCAATGCTCTTAGATATATTCGGACACAAGGGACTTTCTGAGGAAAACACAGCCTTTGAACAACCTTCCAGATAATACTGTTTTAGCAGACCAACATCCCAAACAAAGATGGATTACAAGCCATAAGGAATATGTTCCAGGTGGTCAGCTGTGTTGGTTTGAAGCAGTACAACAAATTTAGGGTCCAGTGGCACCTTTAAGACCAACGAAAGTTTGTTGGTGTTAAAAGTGCCACTGGACTCTAAATGTGTTCATAAGGAATATGGTTTTTGAAAATACCATAGCTGACTTTGCCTCCAAACTTTGCCATTTTATTCTTACCCATAACTACTTCAGATCTGGCAACAACTTGTTCCTTGAGATCAATAGTATCCTTATGGCTGACCTGGAGCAATGCTTCCTAAACTCCCACCCACTCATACCTCCTTTATACTTGTGATACATTGATGGCATTTTAATTGTCTGGACACATGGTAAAGAAGCCTTGGACACCCAGCATTAAACAACTTTCATCCCAACATCAACTGGACAATGAACCAGTCTATGCAACTATTACATTTTCTGCACACTACTGTAAAATTACGCAATGGACGCATTTGTTGTTGTTCAGTCGCACAGTCGAATCCAACTCTTCGCGACCCCATGGACCAGATCACACCAGGCCTTCCTGTCTTCCGCCGTCCTCTGAAGTTTGCTCAATTTCATGTTCGTTGCATCTATGACACTGTCTACCCATCTCATCCTTTGCCATCCCCGTCGTCTTTGACCTTCAATCTTTCCCAGCATCAGGGTCTTCTCCAATTAGTGCTCCCTTCTCATTTGGTGGCCAAAGTATTTGAGCTTCAGTTTCATTATCTGGCCTTCCAGGAAAAAGTCAGGGTTGATTTCTTTTAGGATTGACTGATTTGATCTTCTTGCAGTCCAAGGGCCTCTCAAGAGTCTTCTCCAGCACCATAGTTCAAAAGAATCTATTCTTCGGCGCTCGGCCTTCCTTATAGTCCAACTCTCATTGCTTTGACCATGCAGACTTTTGTTGGCAGGGTGATGTCTCTACTTTTTATCATGCTGTTTAGGTTCGCCATCGCTTTCCTCCCAAGGAGCAGGCATCTTTTAATTTCATGGCTGCTGTCACATGGACGCATAGACACCATCTTATACTGGAAACCTACTGACCAACAAACATATTTAAATGCTCCAGCTACCATCCTAAACATACCAAATGGTCCATTGTACACAGTCAGGCTCTACGCTACAGCCACATCTGCTCTAGTCCCACAGACAGTGATTCTCACCCGAGAGATCTACAACAAACCTTTTTGGAACTAAAGTATCCACCTGATGAAGTCAGGTAACAGATTAACAAAGCCAGAATGTTACCTAGAGAAAACCTGTTGCAAGACAGGCCCAAAAGAAACAATAACAGAACACCTCTAGTGGTCACATACAACCAGTGCTCCCTCTAAGCTGTGGAGTCTTGTGAGCAAAAATTCTACTTTTGTGAGCTACTAGCATTAAAGTTGTAAGTGAGTGATTTGGCTACTGCATAAATTAATTTGCTTTGGAGCCATCCTTCCTGAGCTAAGACAAAAATGTTTGAGCCAGAGCCTAAAAAACTGAACTAGGTCAGCTTAGAGGGAACTCACTAATTTAGAGGGAACACTGCATACAACTCTCAACTCAAAATACTTCAATGCATCATCAGTGACTTACAATGTCCACTGGATAACAGTTCTCTTTCACAAATCTTTTCTCAAACAACTCACCCACAATAATACAACATCTAATTTGAACATGGACACTGGTACCAGAGCTTGCAATAAACCCAGATGCCAACTTCGCTGCCACATACACCTGTACAACACAACCACTGGACCTAACAACATCAGCAACACCATCACAGGCTTATTGACATGCTCATCTTCTAATATTGTATGTGCCATTAAATGCCAACCAATGCCCTTTGGATCTCTGCATAAGGCAAACAGGTCAAACCCTAAACCAGAGGATAAATGGGCCCAAATCTGACATCAAAAATCACCTTCCAGGACTTCCAATGGGTGACCTCAAAGTGGCTGTTTTATTGCAAAGGAACTTCAAGAACAGACTAAAAAGGGAAATTGCAGAGCTGCAAATTATTACAACACTCTGAACAATGGAATCCCCAGGATTTAACAGAGATATTGCTTTCTTATCTCACTATATATGCTAACCTCATTCAGCCCTTACATCTGTATTCTCACCAATCACGCAGAAGAGCCATATGTCCTTTTTGTTTTATTTTATTTCTTATTTCGAATAATAGATTAGAATAGTAGATTGTAATGTAATGAACAGTAGAATGTAATGTAATTTGGAATGGTAGATTGGAATGTATTTCTCTGGTCTGGGGACAGGGGAGATAACTACACAGCCAATTGCCCCATGTCAAAGAAGATGTTGTAAGGTCACCTCCATGCTTGAAAGGAGATGGATGGAGTGTGATTGCAGGGTCTCAGTTAATTACTCTCAGCATTCCACAATTAAGCATACATCTGCCCATCAATCTCCAATTTTGACATTTATTTCCTTATGTTTCCCCCTGGAATTATCCCAAACAAATGGGAACCATATAAACTAAGCTTGTTATTCCTGTTTGGTCCTTGAATCTGTTAAACATCTTCATTATGCTGTATGCTAATTTATTGCTCACCCTCTACCTATACATATGGGCTGGTAATTTCCATTTCATTGTATCTGAAGAAGTGTGTTTGCACACAAAAGCTTATACCTTGAATAAAACTATTTTCTGCAAGGGAATGGATCTCTGTAGTCAGGAAACTTCCTGATCCCACCTGGAAGTGGGCAACCTTGTGTCACAGCCATTGGCGTCAATTTTTAGCAAAAGACCAGGGGACCCAGTGGTGGATGGATTAAAAGGAAATTCACTTCCCCAGGAATTTCTCATCTCAGAGTTGGCAACCTTAAACCCTAACTGGCACTGAGATAGATAATGCTAGAGGAGAAGTTGTGCTTGCCCGTTGGAGCAAAACAAAAGACTAACCATAAAGACTAACATTTGTTCCAGCATGAGCATTCCTTAGTCCATTCTCAGTTCTTCAAATACAAAGGAAAGAAAGTCACTTTTCTCAGGTTTATCCAGAAAACAGAGAGGTAAATTGAGGGCTACTAGTCATGACAATCATGAAAAACCTCCACATCCAGGAGCAGTCAGCATCTGAATACATAGAGGGCAAATGTAAAGGAAGGACTTTATTTCTGAAACTCGGTGTTGTTTGGTTGTTTTGCTGGGTGAGATATATGTATATGGCTGCAGCCTTAGAAAACTAAACTTTTCCCAGTTCTGGACTGAGCACCAAACACAGGTACACGTGGCTTAAGAAATGTTCATGACTTATCATGAGTACAAGTACACAACTCCATTACTAATTGGTACACAGCTATTGTTGAGAATACTACAAAACAATACAGATTTCCCCCCCTGCACTTTTTAGAGGCTAGAATTTTTTATTTACTTCATAATCCAATAGGGACCCAAAGCAGCAGACATCCTCCTCCTCTCTCCATGGTGACAGACCAGATATTGGCTCTGGAGGGGAAACATGTAAACTTCTTTTGACCTTGGACATGCTTGCAGTATGTGACAATGTGACCTGCACCTTTATCTAAAGAGCAGTGTCAACAAATATTGAACTGAGGGCATAATGTAGATCTCTGAGAAACTTTTCATGCTTCCATCACAGTGAAAGCTGGTGATGACTAGAGCAGGAAAAGGCAACATATGGCCTCGAATAAGCACAAGGATCATTTTGAAAAAAAATGAAAGCAAAACTGTTGAACAATCAAGAAAGTATTCCAGTAAATAACACTCCTTGTTCCTTATTCCTTATCAGAAGATGAGAACACAGGTAGGGCCTCCTGGATCACACTAGTGATCCACCTAATCCAGCATCCTATTTCACATAGTGGCTAATCATTGGCTTTGTACTTTTCCTTTTAAAAACACTGTGATGCACATGGACTTTCTTTCTCAGACCCAAAACTCACTCCCACAGGAACGAATATGCCTGTCTTCATTCTCTGTACTTTAGCCTTGTTAAAGTTGAAAAGTGTTTGGTGTAGTGGTTAAGAGCACTGGACTCTAATCCGGAGAACTGGGTTCAATTCCCCACTCCTCCACATGAGCTGCTGAGTGACCTTGGGGCAGTCACAAGTTCTCGCAGAGCTGTTCCCTCATAAGCAGTTCTCTCAGAGCTCTCTCAGCTCCACCTACCTCCCAGGGTGTCTGTTGTGGGGAGGGGAAGGGAAAGGAGACTGTAAACTGTCCTGAGATTCT